TTCTGACGTTGAAGAAAGCACGCGGTTGCGTGTGACGTCAAAGTATGTCGAACATTTTTCGTTACTCTGAGCATTTGAAATAAATAGCTGCTGTTGGCAACTTTTTTTTATTTCAGGTTAGGATAATTGACACGATATGTTATTGCTACGTTACTTCTTTTATTGATGTTGAGAAAAAGTTGTTATATTTAATATAAATTTAAATCAGGACATCATATGCATACCTGAAGTGTCAAAAGTTTTTGTTTCCTGGTTTGAAAATAATAGAATTATATACGAATTAGTTGTTGCTTGGAAAGGAATGAACTGATTTCATTCATATTAAAATGCTTTTATATATTTTCATATCAGACGTACATAGAACTTAAAACCGAGAAGTTCTAGTTAACGACCCTAATTCCAATCCATCTTTTGCCTTTAGCCTTTAAAGAAATTATGTTTTAGTTCTGTTTTCATCAACAGATGGCGCCAGTAGCTTATCTCCTGTCCAAGCTTTCTTATCTTATCTAATCATTTTATCTTACCTGTTCATTTGCGCTTTTGCAGCTGAGGATGATGGTTCGGTAAAACCATCGAAACTGGTCCTGCGAAAATTTGAAAATGCTGATTTTTGTTGTTTGAGTTCTAAATTAATGTTTTATTGGTTATTATATGCAATATTTTAGTAAATGTAATTAATAAAGTGAATATGTGAATAATAAGTGGGAATATATGATAATTATACGAAATAAGATGATTTTTAATTATTATATAAAAATATATAATTACATTTGGCGGTATATGATAATCAATGCGAATTATGGCAACCCATTGTTGGATTTATGGTAACCCATAGTTTGAGCGCTGTAGCGTTTGATGTCATTTAATTCTTAAAATAATGCGTTTTAATACATATAATTTCCGTGTTTGAAATACTGATTTTGTTACATATAATCAATCACGTCATTTTATTTTTTAAATAATGCGTTTTAATATCGATAAATTTTGCGTTTAATATGTATAAATTTTGTGTTTTAAATATTATTTATGGCTGTTAAATATTAAAATATTATTTAACTTTACATTTTTATTTAAAAAACTGATTAAGTTGATTTTATTATTTATGATTTTTGACTCGTTGATTTTAGTTTATTGGCTCCCTGATTATTACAGGATATTTGGTATACCTGGTAATATTACCGCGTTATTTTAGAAATTTTGTTCCTTTACACACAATTTTAGAATTTGTTCTATTCCGCATTTTACTCGATATTTGTATAGCAGTGGCTTCTTCAGTTTTACCTATGAATGTCGTTATTGGTAATTATCATCAATTATTGGTATTGGAATATAATAATTCTCCTTTGAGACCTTATTTTGGCCGGCTTTCCAAATCAGAGGTTCAATTATTACCTTTACCCGATCTTCGGAATCTTAAAAACAATACCTATTACTGGGAATATTTTTCTTTTCCCAAATTTTTAATTTTTTAAATTTATTTTGATCCATTAATTTGTCTATAAATTGTTTAATTTATTTATAAAATTTTATTGTTTTAATTTTTTTTTATTTCCGCTTTTGTTTTTTCATTTTTAATTTTTTTTCCATTGAAATCTAAATTATGATTCCGAACTTTTTTAAATGGTGTTATACCAATATATGCTTAACAGTTATTAGACACTGAATAAAAAAGTAACTACATATTTTTCTTTTACTTTATGTATGTATATTTTCAACAAATGGCTGAGCTGTTTTTTATTGCCACAAAGGTTTTACACTTAAGTAACTGTATTATATAAAATTACTTTATTCTGAAGTGTTTCAATTCATGTAATATTTTAGTCATATCAAAAGCGGGTGTGATGTTTTTAAAGCGGTCTTTTTATTCTATTTCTTTGCTATTAAAATAATAATTTAATCTTACTTTAGTAATTTATATTCGTAGTAAATGTATTTATTTACAATCGCCTGCCATCCTGAAAAATGACGTTTTCAATAAAAATTAATACATTATTTTCAAACACATCGCATATTTTTAAAGTTTAGAATATTATGCTATGCTTAACTGCGTTTTTCAAGATGGTAGGCGATTGTAAATACCGTTCCAAAAATCCGTGCGCGAGTCTATCAAAGAAGCACTCTTTTTTAAATATATATTATATAATATATATATATATAATTGCAGCGGCAGCGCCAAACAGGCGATACGGACTAAAAAATGTACAGAAAAGCGCCATTGGCGAAACAGAACCGTTTGGCAAACTACGGCTGACGGGGGAAGAAGAATTTCCGGCAGTCAAGTGAACTACTTCAACAAATGTGTGCGGCTCTGCTTCGCGAAATATGTCTGTGCACTCGCATCTGTACTGTGCTCTGAATTCTTAACCGTATAAATGTAACCGGCAACTGTTACTTTTCCTTATTAAATTTGATTATTAATTGTAACATGTCTATCTTAACTAAGATTTCGGCTTTCCTAGTTAATGTTAGGGATATTTTCGTATGCACGTGTTACTCACACGTACATCATAATGAAAAATTAATTCAAAAAAATACTTTTAAAATCTACCTCATATTCAATTCAAAATATATATTGAATATATGCAGAAAACAGAAAATAAAAAACCAGAAGCACAGAGGCAAACTGCATGATTGAAGCAAAAAATGGAAAGAAAAAATAAATTTACATCTTTCGCTGCATTGTCATCAGGGGTTTGAGCAACGAAAGAAGTGTATACATCAGCCAGTTTCTGAACCAACGAAGACACATGGTTTAATATTTATAATAATCTTAAAAAATTAATCAAAATAATATGTGTCCAACCCCTCCAGGCCGTAAGTAGTGCAAAAAAATTGCAAAATTATAGCATCTAAAATAAATCCAAATAATTTTTTTCAAATTAAAAAATCCAAAATAAATTTTTTTTGAGGGGGGGGGGGGTATTTTGAGCGGACCAAGTCATTTAAATACAAGCAATCCAACACATGAAAAAATATAATAATTTGAAATCAGTTGTTGGCCGGAGTGTTTTTTTTTAAAGCTAAAAGCTAAGAATACGTTGCATAAACAAAATCTGCGAGAGTGTAGCTTCGTGACGTCATTACAAAGAGGACTAAGCTTGTGACGTCAAGATTGTAATTTCGCGTTTTAATTGAGTAGTAACTTCAAATTTTGGTTCCCAGGTTTGATATAATAATTCTTGAAGCTTTATGTAAGTACTTGTCTCATTTGCGTTATTCAAGGATCATACTACATTGATTAATTTTAAAATGGCTCAATTTATACGCAAAATGTATATATAATGTGTGCTTTATGAGCTTTCCGAGTCAACAAAGTTTGAAAACCCCTTGTATAGAATATTTTAGGAATTAAATGAAGACTTCCTTAAAACTTATTTTTTTCGGGGAAAATGTGTTTATGTGTTTATCATTGTATTTTGAACGAACGGAAGAAAAAGATTCTAGTTACAATAAAAAAAAATTAATTTTCGTTAATAATGTACGAATTTTTAGCTGCCAGATGTAAAGTATTTTTGAGCTTTATGAGCTTTTCGAGTCAACAAAATTTGAAAACCCCCTGTATAGAATATTTTAGGAATTAAATGAAGGCTTTTTTAAAACCTAATATAAGTGACATAATAAGTGAATCACTGCGCAACAAAGAACACTATAATATAAATATTATATAATTATATAATTAAATAACTATAGTATTTAATATATTCTAATTGAAACTGTTAACTAATAGCTTTACAGAAATTATTGGCCTTAGAACATAGCATGAGCTCGAATATGTCCATCTGTATCTATAATAGCATTTTTAAGCAAACACTGATAAATTAGCATTTGCTTAAAATATTCTGGGAACTCAATTTACAATGATTATTTGATCCATGTAGCACAAGTATAGTACAGATGTTCTGAAATAATAAGACGGTGCGAATTCAAGTTACAATGTTCGACAAATTTTTAAAGTGGCAATTAATTCTTCCGTTTATCATAAATAATGAGTTACAATGTTCAACAAATTTTCATAGTGGCATTTAATTCTTCAGTTATTCTTAATTAACGAAAAGAACTGTCAAGATGTGTAATTGATGAAAAACCTAATCAAAAAACGTCATTGAGGCAATAGACGAAAAGTTCGTTTGTTTCATCTGCTCATTAAGAGAAAATATGTAATGAAAATTCCGTGGTTAAAAAAAAAAAAAAGCTCATTAAAAACGCGGCAATAAAGTTCAATGAAGCTAAACTTGAAAGCTAATTTGTTTGGAGACAATTAAAACTAGTTCGTTTCCACTTATCAGGTTCAGTGTTCCTCCTTACTTGCTTGGGGAACATTAAATGACCTGACTCGGAACAGGGAGCTTACTAAAGCTATGTTCAATAAATGTGGGAAGTAGACAAAACACACAGGAAGGGTATACGAAACCCTTTATTTTTCTCTCTTTACAATGATTTCCGGACTTCGGAATACAGAGACCAACCACTTGTGGTCTGAACGTAAGAATATAAAAATATTAACTAAATTCTAACTAAACTAACTTTGGATTTAATAGACAAGTGGCTACTTGAAGATTGGCCGTATATTAACAGAAAGGCCGTGTAGTACAGAGAACTGTTAACACTACGATACGTTTTAAAATTATCAAGAGGATTAAACCTCTGGCCTTGAAGGCAACCAGCAACCGAGTAAAACTGCAATGGCAAGCGGCCTGCTCTAATCACTCCTTCCTCTCTCTTGCTTGGCAAAAAGCCACAACTTAAGTACTTGGCGTTCGCAAGACAAATTTGCATATATAAGTTAAAGCTTTTAATTCTGGCCGGAAGTAGAAAATAAGAAGTGATAGTAAAGATTTAAAATAAAATAAACGTTAATAAAACTTAAGATCCTTACACACTAGCATTAAAAATCTAAGTCATTAAAGTAATTGCTAGTTTTTCCAAACTTCATGCAGCACTATCAATAATTTACCAGTACGATAAATTGTGTTCTTATGAAATGCTTGCTTTTGTTACAGAATTCAATGCCCACGAGTCTTCTGGATTACTTTCCTGAAGCAAAAGGGGATGGCCTTAGAGTGACTTGGGCTCGTGGCACCAACAATAAAGCTCGCCTCACCACTGCACTGAGAAGTAAGTTCTTAAACTTTATTATGCAGTCCCTCCCCCTCTTTTTGTGTGTGTGTTTGGATTGTGTCCTTTTTTTGTAATCATGGTGTTTGCCGCTATTGTCGAACGTTTGTCATCGTCTTTTAGACAATTTTATGGTAGGCTATCGAGTTCAAATTTTGCACACGCACACTATCTGTGAATGACACAATGCTGAGAAAAGATTTTTTCAAAATTCGATTTTCGATTTATTTCGATTGTTTTAAAATTAACGATGAAATGATTTTTTTTGCACATGCCTTCATTTAACAAAGAAATTTAAAATGTTAAAATTTTAACATTTGCACCACCGAATAGAGAGCAAGAAGAATCTTTTAAACGAAATTTATATGAAATTAAATCTTAACTTCTAACTATTTGACGAATTTTCGAAAATCGCTCGATTTTTCCCAACTATTTGACATTTATTATTTTTAAATTTCAACTGCTAAAAACTTATTTGCTCGAAAGATTTTAAATTTTCAGAGATATTGAAACAAACTCTTTGCCTTCTTGCAAAGCAAGAGTCATAAAAAAGATATTTATTGGGCGATTTTTCTACATTTTTTAAAAATGTTCTGGAGACTTTAAGCAGACGGGGAAGTTGAGGTTATTCCTTTGGCGGTTACGCTTAGAATTTCGAAGTTAAACTATCATCATGTGTCACAGTCAGTGCACACAGTCAGTGCTTAAATTGCGCCGGAGCCCGGTTCCGGTACTTCTCAATTTTTAAGATAAATTACAATTTTAGCCGGAGCGCACCGGAGCCCTAAATAAGATGAGCTCCTGACCTCTTTTTATAAAACTGAACCACAATTTCAAGGAAAAAACATTTAGAATTCCTAACGTTTTAAGTTTAACAATAAGCAGACCTTGCAATACTCTGTTTCCCTAGAAATTCGAACTCATGGGAACATGAAACGTTCAAGTAAAGTCCCTTCACTCACATGCGGAAATTTGTGTTTTTAAATGTGCATTAAGTGACAGCGAGTATAATAAGAGTGAAATGCTGAGATAAACTGCTCAAGCACGTCCTATGCATCGTCTTCTCACAGTATCCACTAATGTAATCAAATACGGGGGGGGGCGAAAAGTGTAACCAGCGACTTCACGTTAATCCTTAGGAGTCAGATTCAGGACTCATTTTACCTTTGACACACATTCGCTTGATACCTATAATTATATCAACATAAGCAAATTCGAAAAAATCTATAAGCAATCTCGAAACATAAGCGAATTCGAAAAAATGTCAATGACAGATAGGAAAATAAATTAAAACTCTTATGCTTATTTTTAAAATAAAACTTTAATGTCTACATTTTAGAATTGTAATTATTATTTTACTTGTTCTTCTGTTCGCAAAACTATCGATTATATTGTAGCAGTCTACTTTGTTGATCCAGCTACTATTATGTTGATAGTATAGAGAGATTACTTGAATGTGAAATATACATTTGAAGGTCTTAAATACTTCTTAAGTGATTTCTATCCAGAAAATTCTTCTTATTACTAACAACACTTACAGCAGTTGTGAGGAAAGTTCGCTGTGGTATTGCAATATTTGGAACTTTGTTCTAAAGATTCCATTAAAAAAAAAAAAAAAAATGCAGAAATTCAATCGCCTTTCAACGTCACGTTTCCCCTAGAAATATCAAAAATACAATTCTGAAGTATTTCTCAACGAAGATTTCTTCCTTATTAATTGTTAACGAAGAATTCTTCCTCGTGATCATAATTTAGTTGATTATTTGTGTTTTTCATTCAAAAGTTCCGACGAGGTAAAGAAGGTATAACAAGAGTATGTAGCTGCTGAAATCTTCAGTGATTTCTTCGAATACTCTATGTAACATAAAAAGTATTTTTCTTTTCAATTTCATTCCGCTTCTGAGTTAAGAATCTCGTTATTCTTCTCCTGCTTCGACGATCCACAAGACTAACGTGTATAAAAGAATGTTTCGCGAGAAAAATGCCATTTACAAAAATGTTCCTCCCGGGATTGACCGGTCCTCCGTCCTCTTTTAGCTACTTCACTAGCTATATACGATACATGCTGCCACATTTAGTAGCAAATGCGAAACTTGAGGGAAAGCACAGAAATTTATCCACATATGGTCTTTCTTTTGACTGTTGCTATAACTGTATTTTTACTTAAAGGGAATGATAAAATATAACTAATATAAAATTATATATACATATACTCGTATATAATAATATGATATAATTCAATTGGTAAAATATAACTACTAAAAATTTATTTCTGCTTAAAGGAATTAAGGACTAAGGTTATGAACCGTGGAATCAAAGGTTATTCAATGATTCTTGGTATTTCTGAGTGCGTGGGTAGAGTAGTAGCTTTATGATCTTGTTCGGGCAACGATCGAGTTCGCGACCATGCGAGAAGGCTGAAACGAGATTGTCGAAGATAACCTCAAGCGGAAAATATCTTTAATCCGATGCCACACGACAAAAGTACTAAGATGATATCGCGGTGCTTTCAGTAATGGAATTATTTATCACAAAGAAACACTGAAACGCGTGTTTTAAGACAATGCAATAGCGGAGGTTATAAACTGCGGGGTTTTCTTGTCCTCTAAAACGTACGCGGTCATTACGTGTTCATGAGAAAAACTCTTAACAGTGAAGGAAGCTGGAAATAAACCTACTGTGGTATCTCGGTACATGTCCTTAATCTATCCCAGATCCTTAGACGTATACCAAAGTAACTTTTCCAGTAAGAAATAAAGCGAAAATAATCTATCCGTTCTTATAAAATATCCTATTATTATTATCATTATTATTATACTGTTTAATACTAAAATAGAAATGCAGTGGGCGAATATGCACCGTACGTAAATAAAGCAATGCACATGATACTGTGCATAAATGTTTTTCTATTATCCAAATCAAAAGCAATTTTTCAACATTCTCTAAACGTCTCTGATCTCTGTTCCGTAATCGATTTCACCCCCTTCGCAACGTTAGCCGATTTAATATCGTTTTTGTTTTCGTAGTTGTAGACATCATCATATTCGGCATATAGTATGCAATAGCTTAATCCCGAATACACATGCCCATCTTCACACTTTTCAATTAGCTCTTTCTTCCCTTGAATGGTGATCCTAACAATTTTCCTCGTTCCTTGATTCTTCTCATTACACTGTTAATAAATTTTAAAAAATTAAGCAAAAAGTTTTAAACACTTGAGGATTCATAGTTATTTCTCGGCCTATTTACTGACTAGTAGCAACAGGCAATACTGACACTCGTGGGTAGCATCGGTTGTAGTGCGTGCAGTGATGACATATCGAACTCGAATCGTATACCACTGATATCAAACTGAAATTGCGTGCGGGATGCATTCACAATTTGAAAGTCTGTGTTTTAACAGAATGAAAAGAATATTTTAAATAAATTTTAATTTCACTTACAAAATGTTTATGAAAACTTGGCTTATAAACAATAATATCACAAAGGAAAAAACTTAAATTTCTATTTATTTTCAATCTGAAATTTTAAGTTTGGCACCTTCAAGAGATAATTACACCTTGCAGTTCAAACCTATTGACAGCTTAATGTTATTAAATTCTTAGACTGACATTCCTGTGAAATAATTCTAGCATTTTTAATTAATATTAAATAATTTAGTTAAATTTCATAGAATATGCACCGTACGTAAGCAAATTACTAACTACTTCTAAGTTTTAAGTGAAACTTTTCTATTTATTAATTTTTTTCTTCGATGCATAAATAAAAATACACATGCTTATATGCAAATAATTATAAAAAATATTTATTTCTTACTACAGCTTTCGCCCACCAGCTGCCGAGCCGTAAAAATTGCTGAACAGTCGTAGTTCCGACCTGGTTTCGATTCCAGGCGAAAGGACTGACTGCATGGCAGTTTTCGTGGTTTTCCTTATGTGTAACATGTATACCAGCCAGTTTCCGTTAGAAAGTTCTCCACGAAGGCATCCCTTCCCTAAAGCAAATTGCCCTAGTATGCTTTGCGATAATCAACTAAAGCAAAACTGACCCTTACTGCAATTTCACATTTGATGGAATTAGATTCTGATAAAGTTTATAGACTTGAAGAAAATTTACTGGAAATTATTTTAATCACGGATTGTAGATGCTAGTCTGTTAGTCGGTTATTTTTTTATCAGTTTTCAACTGTGAAAAAAAGCTTTTCGCATATAAATGCAAAACGATTATTCTTAGTGCAGTTCGTAACTGAGCTTCTTTATCTTCTGACAGAAGTACGAATAAATTTAATAAAACCCATATCTTGAAATCTTTGAGTAAGATTTATATCATATTGTTGCGTGCGTACGGGTTCGGTACGAAATGAATGCACAAATCCGATGAAAAATGAACAAAAATTTATTATTATCACAACGAATATGATTAAATTTTCTCAAATTATCATGCAGTATTACAATATCTCACAGTAGTTATCTTTTAACTATTCAAATGTCCAATAGAACGTAATTCAAAACAGCTAAAGAAAGCTAATCCGCGAATTCGCTACAATCAACAAGAGCAGTTTTCCAAACAACAAACTAAGCAACTACTACAAACTGAGAGGTTTTCCTCTTTTTATAAGATTTTAAAATCGCGTGCGAGAATTTTCCAGTACTTTCTCGAAGTCAAAAAGACATATTTATTTATTTAATGTTAAATGCAAGTGCTCTCGTATTTTCAATTTTTCCGGCTTAGCTTTCTTTTAATATTCGTCACGCGCTGCACTGCGCGGGAAATAAAACCATTTAATTTATAATTGAACTAACATTAGCTTTTAAATACCAAATTCCTAACACTGCCCCCTTCCCAAGGACTGCACGTCCCGGGCAGTACAATCCCTGTACAGGAAGCCAAACTTACAACTAAAAGTATAAATGCAATAATAAGCATTACATTAGAATAGTAAACAACATGAACAATAAACGCAATAAATAAAACAAATCAAATGCTATCAAATACAAATCTAATACAAAATATAAATCAAATACTAAATACACATTTAGAAACAAAAAGGACCATGATCTTACACTATTTACAATTATTTACATTACGTACTATGATCATAGTAATGAGCTAACCTGTCATAAGGCGTCAAATAAGTTTCAACTGAACAATTCTAGAGCTTAAAAGATTCTTCTAGATTTACTAATTGGTTTTGAGCAGATATGGGATATTTTCTAAATTTTCTCCAGTTCAAATTTTAAAAAATTCTCGAATTTCGGGAATCTTAATTTGTCAAATGCTTCGTGTCATCATTTTTATAAGAAGAAAAAGGGGAAGATGAGCTGCAATCTAAAAACTTCGAATTAAAAAGAATTAAGTCTAATCTTGATATGCAAATTTCAGTTTCAGGTGTGAAGCAATTTTAAGTTAAGACTTTACGATAGGCTTGCCGAGAATTAATACTTAAGAAATTAAATATATCGGACGTCGTTATTTTATATTAAAAAAAGGCTGTTCAAAATGATAACACCAAATAGTAGAAAAAAATTGCAATGATTTATTTCATTTTGAGTTACTGCTACATGGAAATTTGTGCTTTTATCTAAAAAAAGAACAGATACAGTTATTCAAAACATAGCTATGCGTTTATTTAATTGGATTTCTTCCGCAAGAATCTTACAACTTATATTTTCCTCTAAGTGGCAAAATTTTTATTATGCTAGGACAAGAAAACAGTTTACTGAAAACAAACAATTCAAGCAAACAATTTAAGAACTGACACTTAACGTTAAAAGCCTCTAAAAGTAAATTTGAAATCTGTGTTCTACGAGAAATTAAAAATGCAATTTTTTAATATGAGATTTAGTAAATGAACCGCATAATTGAATTCTTGAATCTCAAAATTATTTTTTAGTATAATTTGACAGCAGTTCAATTTTCTTTTTTACATTTTTTTCTAGAATCTTTTTAAATTAAAGCAAGTGTAAAGATGGCATATAAACTTCGTTGCACGCAAGATCGCCAGTGGGTAATATTAGTGATCCAAGTATCACTAAACTGCACTAATTACGTTCTTATTTTTAATTAATGCTTTCACCAGACGTCAGTATGTAAGGAATTCTCAGTCCTCCGTGTGTGCTGTTCATGGTGTAAATAGTTACCGTGTCAACTACCAAGTACAAGACCTATGGATCGAATCCCGGCGACGAGGCAGTTAATTTTTCTTGTTTCATGCACTGAAAAACCTCATATTATACAGATAAAACTGATCTCTCCAACCCTTTGTGTTAAAACTTTTACTGGATTTTTAGGTTACTCTTCCAAAAATTCTAAGATCTAAAACAACGCTAAGGGTCAATTTTCGCGCATTTGAAATGAATTTCGCACCCCTATTTTTACTTCATCTGTATGATTCAGTATATCTTTTTCCGTTTAACAAATGATTCTGCCCTTCCAGCCATCTTCGTTATTTTCCACACCTTTCCATAGATTATTACACCAGCATGTGATCCAATTTTGTTCTGTTAGCAAACAAGTACCTTTTGCAAGAAAAAATTAAATGCTCCCTTTCCTTCTTCTTTCTTACAGTAACTCGGCAGTTATATCATTTTTAGATAGTAATTTTATCGGAGAATGCATTTGATTGATTGGATTGGATGTTTGTAAAATAACTGGAAGTTTTTTTTATGCAGAGCAGTGTGAGTTTTCTGATAGAAAAAACCCTTGCCGTGTAATTTTGATCCAATTCAGTGTCACAAAATAAAATTTTCCTTCTTTACTTTCTTAGCGTCCTTTTTATTTACTTACTTGTCGATATCTTTTCAAATTTTATTTTTATCTTTATGTATTTATAAACCGGTTTTACATCTGAAACCTTTTATCACGGGGACTATCTATTGATTGCAACTTTTTTTTTTTTTTTTTTTTTTTTTTTTTTTTTTTTTAAATCTTTAACTGAATTATTTGTCATTTCTTTCCTACGAAGAAATATTTATTTTCTTCATTTCTTGTTTGTCTTAAATTATTGAAATTATAACTGTAGTACTTGGTATCCTTATTTCATCATACACACTATTCTAAATTCCTATAAAACAATAAACAGGATTTAGTATTAGCATACCGTTACTTCCGAGTATTTCGCCAGCTATACCATAAAAAATTTATGAAGATTAAATTTTAGAAGTTGAGCAGTTATCATAATAATGAGACGAATGGGTAGATACTTTCATGTCTTTAACTTCCGAAATGTTTGTAATATCTGCGACTGAATACGTTTGTCTTTTTTTAGGTGCTGCCAGTCTGGTAGAAGGAGATGTAAGCATGTCCTGCAATAGTCGGTACCCTGTACCGATAATGTCTCAGTCGGCGTCTGTGCCAAGTGACCTGACGTTGGAAGAATGGCTGCAAGAGGTGCTCAGGTTTAACAACAAAGGCATTCAGCTAGATTTTCAGTCCACGGAGGTGGTCGAACCCGCTTGTAGAGTTCTCGCAAGGGTCGCCGATCACGTGAGTATGCAATGTTTAAAAAACGCAAAGCAATCTTGGACATTTTCCCATTTTCGTTCTTAGCGGCCGAGCGGTAAAGTCGCTGAATACTGGTACTTCGGTCCGGTTCAAATCCTGGAGAACGGGATGGCTGCATGGGCGTTTTCGTAGGTTTCAAACTATGTATAACATGTATACGAGCTAGTTACAATAAAACAGGATTTTTTTTTTTTTTGGCTTATATTCTAGTGTACAAGTTGACAAGTCAATTCGCGAATGCGCGTTTCATACACTTTTTTGAACACATTCAAATTTATACGGGTTTATAGAGCCATCCTTTCGCTGTAAAAATATAAATATAGGCCGTTTACATTTTTATTATTTATTATTTCTATCGCGATTCTTTATTATGTCTATCAGTGTCGACTGCGAGATCAAACCTGCTGTAACTACGGGGTCCTCGTGTGGCCAATTACAAGTAATGCTCAAAAATCCCATTACTTAAAAAAATTATTCTGGAAAATCTTACGCTAACCCTGAATTTCGGAGTGAGCCACGATGTAATAATAATGCTTCAAATGATCCTAAAAGACCTATTACGAATCCTGAGAAAAATCTTCAGTTACCAAAGAGTGAAGATAACCTGGGCTTTGAATAACACTAAAAAACTCTGTCCGCAAGTACAAACTCCTACAGCTCTGAAAAGCAACAGTTGATATTATAGTTCTGCAAGCAGACCCCCATAAAAACCTACTCAAAAATATCTCTGGATCTTTAAATGATTTCCTAGGAATTATTAAGGAAATTAATGACTTCCTAACATTCCAAACGTGATGTTTAAGTTTAACTTGTCGATATCTATTTTATCATCGGATGCAATCTCGAAGGTAACACAAGGCAGCGTCCAGATGAGTTTACCTTCCAGTCTTTCAGCCAGGTCTTTTTGGATGATGGTAATATCGGCTTCTGTATCGATGGTCATATTGCAAGAAACTCATTTTATATGTCCCATGATGAATAGTTCATTACTACCGCTATACATTGCAGAAATTTGAATCGGTTTAATGGGTTTCTCAATATCTGGCAATCTCCGCTCCACAAGATAGCCACCAATTGTTTCCTGCGTTCTTGCTTGGGAGCGATCCTATCTGTCCATGCCTTGGGCTGTTCATTCGTCCGTGGCCTTCACCAACGCAATTTTCAAAACTTTAGGATCAGTTTGTTGGGACTTATATTCTGCTTTAAGGCATTGAATTGCCTGGTTAAATCATCTAGACGAGCAGTCATTTAATCTACTTGCTTCTGGAATTGAGCAGCTCTGAATGGGCGGTAGTCTTTACGAGTTGATTTCTGAGCTGCCTCAGATTTTATGGGGTACACTAAATTGATTGTTAGATCCTTGACATCCGCCATTCGCAAGACTTTTTGTATATCAGCAACCCGGATACCATCGATGAGGTACTGCAAGGACAGGATTTCCCTTGTTTCTGCAGGGTCGGCAGAAAAAGCGAGATGAAACAGCCTTTCAACTTTCGTGACGAGTTCTTGGATTGTTTCTGTGGGCTTCTATTCGTGAGATTTCAAGTGAAGCCTGCTATAGTCTTTTAAACATTTCTCTCTAAAGCGCAGCTCCAAAGCGCGGGAGTGAGCTTCGAAGTTTAGCCTCTGATTTTCGGGCAGAGTTTGAAAGGTATACGCTGCATCTGCTGTCAGAGAAACGGCAAGATGGCAGGCTTTATTGCTTTTACAGGTGTGTAAAACTGAGCTTTACAGCTTCCAGGAGGTCTTTCCATAATACGCGGATGCCTGTAGAGAGGGTTGAGAAGACATAGGTAGGATAAAGGTGTGAAAAATGTTTTCTGTTACTATAAATTCCTTCACACTGTCAATTTTCTTGGCGACAACAAAAACTCTTTCATCGATTTGTTGTTGGACACCAAGAACTCGTACTCCGATTTATTGTTCAGCAGTAGAAGCTTTTTCACCAGTTTCTCCAACTTTATTTGTAACATTGTCTATTTCTGCATACCAAAGTTTCGATTTTTTTTTTTTTTTTTTTTTTTTTTTTTTTTTTTTTTTCTGTTACGTCAGTAACTTCTCTTTTCATTTCTTCTTGACTTGCTTCTGTCTTCTTGAACTGACCTGACGTCCCCTTTCATATTTTCTTGAAACATTTTCATCTCTTCTTTATCGGAATTGGCGTCCCCTTCTACGTTTTCTTGGGATGCAACAAAGGCTGTCATCAGTTATCTTAGTTGCTCATCCATCGCTCTTGTCACCAGTATCCAATCCGACTTCTGAACACCAAAAATTGTTCCGTGCGTACAGGTTCGTAATGGATTGAATGCACACAGAACCGATAATAGCTTGATTATTTTTTTACCGAAAGAAACAGTTTACATTTCTGGAACTTTTCATAAAAGTGCTTCTACAGCTGTTCTCAGTAACTTCTCTTACTCAGTAAATTCTCTCTCAGTAACAGTATGACAGAGTACAGTCAGTAGTTACCACTTCAAGCTGCTAATAACGTTAAACACAAGACTATGTGAAAAGCCTCAAATTCAATAGGCTCGCAGTCAGCGAGCGTATAGAGCGTACTGAGTCTCTCAGTACTCTCTATACTCTAAATTAAATTCCAAACCAGACTGAAAACTAATGCTGTTTCAGGTCTTATATGGTTTTCCGAGAAATTGCCAGTACCTTAGGTGTCTCAAAATCGTTAGAAGGCATAGACAGTACTCAATTACAGTTACATACGGCTGTATACAATTACAGTTACATAGTGATAGGGCCGATTATTTACTTATTACATGCTCCTCTTTTAGGCACTACAAAGGGAGGGAAGCCCTGTGAAGGTCTTTTAGGAAAAACTGGCTCGCATACACGTTACACATAGGAAAAACCACGAAAATGCTCACGCAGCCAGCCCGTTCGCTGGAACTCGAACCCTGGACCGAAGTACCAGTGTTCAGGGGCTTTTACCGCTCGGCAGCTGGTGGGTATATAGGCCGAATTACAGGGTTCGGACCAAAATGTCGCCAAATAATCGGCAAGTTCGGAAACTTTTGGCGATTTCTCCTCAAAGTTGGTGACAAAAATAAGTGACTAAAACCAACGGCAGCTTCGCGCTATCTCGCCAATTTAGGAAACGTTAAACGGACTTACCCCTTGAACCTTATTTTCTTTTCATTTCTGAAGCCTTTTATGTTACATTAGATAAGAGATGGTATAATTTACATACCATTTCACTAAAATTATGTACATATATACAAAATTCTTATCAGTGTATGTCTCCTTTGGAGATCCAAGTGTTTTTCCCCCCTTTTTTTCGTTCCCGTCTCACACACTGGCAAAGTCCTATCTGGAGTGTGCCAGTTTATTGAAGTACACAAGATCCCATGCACAGAAACCATTATGTATTCAGCACTTAAATGATAACATGACAAAATTCGGAATTTCGTATAACAAAATTTAACATTAATATACAGAATAATCAGTAACATTTAGTCACCATGATAACTATTCAGAAACTCTGAGAATGATTAATGATTATTAAAGAGAAAATATATATATATAAAACATTTTTTAACAGCTCGAGCGCATACTTAATCTGAGCGCATACCTGAAATTTCATTTCGAATTGGTTGAGCAGATAGGCCACTAAAGACTCATATATCGGGAATTTTTTATGACCACCCTGTATATTAATCGATCTAATCAGTGGCATTCTCTGTACGTATCCAAATGATCAGAAGGTTGTTGATGCGTGTTCCTTGATCTATTGCACCAAGATATTTTACTGTACATTTATTTACAATTTATTTACAAGTCGTATGCCACCTGGCATGTACATGATAGACATATTCTGCCACCTGGCATGTGAATTGATACATCATACTAGTTTTCTGCCACCTGACAGACACGATGCAATTACCTCAATTAGCGGTAATACGCCCGACATTTTGGCGTGTCCGCTTCCCTTACGTTCTGTAACGCAACTAACTCTTTGTGCGGTGCGCCCTCTGGGCACAAATCACCGCAATCACCGAGGAGGCCAAAACATTCTCAAAGTAGTTTCACCAAAATACCGTCAAGCAAAGACTTCCATTTAACAACGGTATGTTATTGGGGGGGGGGCTGTTAAGTGTAGTATACTAAGCTGTTAGACCAGGGTCAAATATCTTGGCATTTTGTATATTGTAATTAGTCATAGAATACGAACCTCAAATTTGTCCAGAAACAAAGAGCATTAGTTAATCAATTAGTTAAAGTCAAATAAAGTTAATCAATTAGTTAAATTAGTTAAAGTCAATGATCTCCTGATGAAAGGTAATGCACAATTTTAAAGATTCGCAGCGTAGTAAACCAGCTTCGGATTATTGGGTGTCTTTATCTAATCTAACTCCTTCCATATTTCACTAAGAAACTGCCATCTTTCTTGACAATGGATTATACGGAGAAGTCAGTTCAAAAGAGAATTAATAACAATGGTCGCAAACTTATTAGTCATCAGAGCCAGATCAAACAGATCAACGATTGAAATCTCTTTTGAGAACCACATTTTTTAAACTTAAATTTTATAGGTTGGTATATTGTTATTCACTTGATTAGGGTAGTCTTACGCTGGCTTGTACTAATAACGTCTTCAATCTGATCAACGTACATTCGCTGACGTAGACCCTCTTCCAACTCTCCCATGCGCACTTGTCTTGTATTCTGGTTTCGTGTATCTTTTTTCGTTCATCCTCTCTATATGTCTTAACCATCTTAACATACATTTGGCCCACCAGCGGCCGAGCGGTAAAGACGCTGAACACTGGTAGTTCGGTCCGAGGTTCGAATCCCGCGAACGGGCTGGCTGCATGTTTTCGTGGTTTTCCCATGTGTAACGTGTATACGAGCCAGTTTCCCTTAGAAAGTCCTCCACGAAAGGCATCCCTCCCCTTAGGCAGATAGCCCTAGTGTGCTTTGCCATAATTAAAATACACAATACACACACACTTAACATACATTTCTCAATT